AAAAAAAAAAAAAAGAACAACAATTAACACTGGTGTGTGATCACTAGGTTCTAGGCACTATTCTATTCTAATGGCTTCATGTAACGTAAATCCACAAGTTAGATACCATCACTGTCCCTATTTAGCAGATGAGGAAACTAAAGGACAGAGAAGTGATCATCTAAGGTCTCACTCTTAGTATCTGGTGGAACCGTGACTGGGCAGCAGGTCTTCTCTACACAATTTTTTCTTTTTGTTTCTGGGTAGAAGTGCCACGTCATTCTTCCATTATTTATTAATAGTCAAGGAAGGATGTCCTTTTAACTTTTCTACTCTGTTAAGTAGCCATAGGCACTAGTCTCTCTCACCTAGACTAATGCACTCAGGACCTTGTAACTGGCCCCCTGGGTCTCTTCCTGACTTCCCCTGGCTAGCACCCACCATGGGGCTCCATTATAGTAAGCCTGTCCTGGTGGGCTCTGCCCACCCACTGGCCCCAGGACCAGCCTCTCTTCCCTGTTCACTCTCCTCCAGCAGCAGAGGTCTGCGTGCTGGGCTTGTACAAAGCTGGCTCATTTCCACTGCAATGCCTTACACATATCTAGAAAGCTCTGTTTTCAGACTGCAGTAGTTGGCTCTTTCTTATCAGTCAGGTCTCTGGTCCAGTGTCACCTCCACAGAGGGGCCTACCCTGCTACCCAATTCAGAATCTTCCCAATACCTTCTTTCTGGTACTTACATAGCCACTTCCAAGTTCTTTGCTTTTATTTTTTTCATAGATTTTATTGCTGTCCAAAATGTTGTATCTGTAGGTCTACTCATTTACCCTACAGAACAGAGTCTCTGCAAAAGCAGGAAGCATATCTACCTTGTCTAGCCCTGTACTCCGATTCCTAGAACAACGCCTGGTAGGCACTGAACACCCCTGGATTAGAAGGACAAAACCAGTGAGTGACTAAAAGCCATCTTCAGGCCCTACCTGCATCTGTGCTTTCTTCACGTTGGCATTGACGACAGCCGCCATGTAACTGAGAGCAGCCTCACGGGTTTCACCGTTCAACAAAACACTATGCAGAATCTTGAAGAGCTCTTGCTGAAATTTATTTAAAAAAAAAAAAGAAACACAAACTTTATTTTGAACATTATTCCTTTTTGACATTAAGAACGGCAAGCCTACTTCCCACTTTCTCTCCTATAGTATCATTTTTTTCAAGATCTTAGTTGGCTTTTATTAGCCAATATCCCATTGATCACAAGAGGAATATAAGAAATGTTCATATTCAACTGTGTCAGAATAATTAGCATGAAAGCAGGATATGGAATACAAGGGGTGTCAGTGTTAATAAAATAGCCTTGGTTACTTCCTTTCTGTGAGCAAAATTATCTTAACAACCCAAGCCTACACTTTCTCTGCTTTTAAGTTTCGAAATGAAGACATACTAATCTACATTTGGGATAAGTGAGAGGTGTGAGCAAAGTGACGGTTCTCATTCACCCTCACTCTTTAAGACTGAAGGGCAAGCTGGAGAAAGAACGCGGCCACCGAACTTAGGACCCAGTGACGCTACCTAGAAAGGGCAGCGTAGTGTTGTTGCTACTGCTATTATTCAAGACACAGGTCACCTTATCTCTGTGTATGAAGCACGTCTTTTAACTTGGCTTTTTTCAGGCATTCATAAATCAGACGGCATCCCATTTACAAAAGAGAAGTTTTCTATCTATAGCTTGTATTAACTATTTGGATTCGTTTTCTGAACACCTACCCTTCCAAGCTCTAAGTAATGCTGTAGTGACTGGCTAACCACACGAGTGTTTTCCAGGGTAATGGCAGGCCCTGAAAAATATTTTTCAACCACCTTAGCCTAGAAAGAGAAGGAAAACAATTCAGTCAATATGTAATGTACAATGGGAAGGAATCTGAACAGAGGAGCCGCCAAGTGCTAACGGCTGCTATACTTACATCATCTTCCGCAAAGACAGAGAAGCTGAAGAAAGCCCCCAAGTAGGAGAGTCTCTGCAGCTCCCGCCCGGAGCCAGGGCTTAAGGATTTCGGCAACCACAATGGCAAAGAAGCAACCTAGGCCAAAAATTGGAAGAGGCCAATCAGCTGCTAAGTAGGTAAACAATTTAGAAATATAGCGAACAGTTCTCAGCAGCCAGCTGCTCAGAAGACTCTCAGCCCCCGGCACGATGGCCAACACTCAACATCAAAAACCCAGGTGCACAGATGCGTCAGGATCCCTGGTGTTACTTTCTCACCTCAGATGGAGGAAAACCCTCTGACCCCTCTTCATTTTCATAACACGCTGAATTCTCATGTTTCAAATTATTCTTGGATGGAGTTCAAATAAACCACTGTTACCCTTCCAAAGTACAAGTCAAATTTTCCCATAGGACGTGCTATCCCAGTTGTATAATTCTAACTTACACACACATACAATCACAGAAGTTAACAACTTCATTGCAGGAAGTGACGTGTATGGTATCAATTTAACAGGTGAGAGACTCCCCGGCACGTCACCTCCCACTTTATCGAGATCAGTGGTTCTCAACCTTCCTGATGCCGTGAGCCTTCAATACAGTTCCTGTGGGTCCCGACCCCCAGGTTGAGAACCGCTGATCTAAATGTTCTTCAAGAGAAGGTTTTCAGATAACGTTACTTCAGGAAAATCTTCTGGGTTATGACCTATTCATGGAAAATGTGCAGGCCTATCAGGCAGGTGCTTACCAAATTGCACACAGGGTGTGTCTTCCCAAACTTGGTTTCGCAGAGCTCACCCAGTGCCTAAAACAAGATGAGAAAGAGCCGTTTAAGTGTGCTCCATCCTAAACTGGCTCCATGTGTAACCTCAAGGAGCAGCTTTATCTGCGGCTATAAATACATATGGGTCCTTCCAAAATGGTGCCAGACAGCTTTCTACGTTTTTCTGATTAATAAACTAATACACATATTTTTCTAAGAACTTGAAATAAAACAAATGTAAAGTGAAACTAAAAACCTCAAACATTACCCTCACACATAAACCCTACTGATACTATGATTAAGTTTTCCACACGTATTCTGTGTCCTCTGTAGAGAAAAGTATATATTTTTACCAAAAACATGTTTTTCACCTTGTATCTTCCCATGTCTAAAAGATTTGTTTCTTAAATTTTGGATGGCTAGCCTTGACAGCGCTAAACACGACTATAAATAACTACAAGTTAATAAGCTATCGAATTCAGAACGTGTTGAGAAGCATAACTTGGTTTTAAGATATCAGAAACTTTGAGAACTACAACACTTTCCTCAGGGCTCCCATCACTCTCATACTCAGAGACAGTTTTTAGGAGCACAAACACCATTCAACATGGCCATGATAACTCAATCAAACACTATTTTTACCAGTGAACTGAATTTCCCTTGATTTACACACAGCTCTAAAAGTTGCTAAGCTTGCCAAAGGGAGCTCTGGGGTCACACACGTAGGCACGGACACAATTTTGAGAAGCTCTGAGGCTCAGCCTTCTCAGAGGAAAAGTTCTCACTGTCCAGAGCAGGAGATCATGAACTTGGCTGTACATTAGGATTCCATGTGAAGCTTTTGGAAACAGCAAGGCCATGCCCACAGCCCCAGAACACTAACTCTCAATGTCTGGGGCTGGGAACCAGGCAGCAGTAAGATCCCTAGGTGACTCCGAGGTATAGCTCTGGAGCAAGTGTCCTCAAACTATGGCCCGTGAGCCACATGCGGCCCATCAAGGACATTTATCCGGCCCACCAGGTGTTTTCCTGCCGCTGCCTGTCCTGCTTAGCAGCTGACTTGTCCTGGGGCCTGCAGTCCAGCCCTCCAATGGTCGAGGAACAGTGAACTGGTCCCCTGTTTTTTTTTTTTTTTTTTGAGACAGAGCCTCAAGCTGTCCCCCTGGGTAGAGTACCGTGGCATTACAGCTCACAGCAACCTCCAACTCCTGGGCTCAAGCGAGTCTCTTGCCTCCGCCTCCCAAGTAGCTGGGACTACAGGCGCCCGCCACAACGCCCGGCCATTTTTTGGTTGCAGCCGTCATTGTTGTTTGGCGGGTCCAGGCTGGGGATTCGAACCCGCCACCTTAGGTGTACATGGCTGGCACCTTAGCTGGTTGAGCTATAGGTGCCGAGCCACTGGTCCCCTGTTTAAAAAGTTTGAGGACCCCTGCTCTGGAGGATCCACTGACCCAGAGAATGATCAGAATTATCTGTGATTTTAGCTCCCACAGCGTCCTCTTTCTGCCTCTCATTACTGCGCTCTCTCTCACCAAATCCTCATTATTGCACAAGCATCAGTAATGACACAAAATGAAATTACTGCCTACCACAGTGAAGGCCTTTGTTTTTTGAATAAAAGGACATTTTATTGCCATCTGACACTAAAAGCTCCTCACTGAAACATCAAGTTCCTTCCATCCACAAGCAAACAGCCAAGAATTCCATGATGAAATATGTATATAATACAGTGATAATTAGTGTTCATCAAAATATTTCATTACTAAATGTCTTAACACAATAACTAAGAAAATGCCATGAAGGTTATATCAACCAGTTTGATGAAAACATTTTAAATTGTATATAAAACCAGCACATTGTACCCCATGATTGCATTAATGTACACAGCTATGATTTAATAAAAAAAATTAAAAAAAATGTCATTACTGAACTGAAAACAATCAGGTAAGAAAAGGTATTTTCTCTTATTAGTCACAGGTAGAATAATGCATAAGTATTAATAGAAATTTATTAGGTACCTGAATAATATGCATGATGGGAAGAGCCTGGGCATAAACACATTCAAATTATTCTTAAAAGCAGCAATTCCTGTCTTACCTTCTATTTATCTTTAACTTTTAGTCTTTTGGTGTTAAGATTGTAGTTTTTTTTAAAAAAAATAGATAAATGCACACCTTTGTTTTAGCATTTATCACAGTGTAACTCTGCACTTGTTTTGTTGGGGTTTTAGTGCCTTGAGCAGAGGGCCCTGGTCTGACTAGCTCCTGTGTTCCCGGTGCCCAGTGCAGAACAGCTCTTCAGAAAGTAATGGAGGAACGGTGCAATGCAATCACATCAGTAGTACGAGTAAAAGGAACAAATACAGTAAAAAACGAAATCTATTTAACCATGGCCTCGATTTACTCAAGACTGTATTTATACATAGAATAATTCTTTCCTTCATATTTCTACAATTAAAAGTATTCACTAATACTTCAAAATATTTTTCTCCAAAATTTTCAAAGTAAATTCAGTATAGAAAAGAGCCTTTTATTTTCATTCTGCTTCTAGTATTTTCACAACAGTCAAGTCCCCGCCACGTCAATCTAGCCCAAGTGGCTGTCTACAATCTATGCTTGCTGTAAACATCATAAGGGGCTGAGCAGATCTGCGCTTCCAGGAACAGCCTGCAGGTGAAGCGCAAGGCCTTAGGAAATGGGGAAGATGAACATCAGAGTTACCCTGGGGTTTTCTGCACGAGAAAGTCAATACATAAATAATATAAATAAATATAAAACTGTATTATGTTCACAGTTTAACTTGGCCTTTCTGACAGTTTTTTAAATAACAAATTTCGTCCCGAACATGGTATGCTCATTGCTAGGAGAACTGGAAGGACACCACCAATAATGATCTTTTTCTTTTATAATACGGGGAAGCACATTTTATTGAGGGCATCGCTGACTCCTGCCTAGGACCCAGACAGGTAGAGTATGTACCCGGTGCTAACTGTCTTCACTGAGGCATCTCACTGCACACCAAACACTCAGCATGGCCAACACAATTTCACAAATTTGAAAACAAGGTTGATCATGGACCTGAAAGAAAAGTGTATGTTGAAATAATCTAAAAGAAAAACATCTATCAAATAGGTTAATGAAAAAGAACAAAGTTTTACCATGAGAGGGTATTTGAAGTAGTCACTGTCGAGAGAGCACTCTTTGGCAGCAAGAGCCAGGCCTTGTAAAATGGGGATAAAGATCTGTAAGAAGAAAAAGTCAGAAATACGAAGTTTAAGAAAATCTGAGACTAGAAAGCATGTCAAAATAAGGTACTGAATCTGAATGTCCAGGCATTTCCAGTCTTCTCCTAAAGAAAGCTTAGAGTTCAGAATTCAGACTGTCAATCTGTCCTTTAACAAGGCTAACTGTAAAATAATGAAGCTGAATTCTCCAGAAATAAGAGGGTTTTGGTGAACCCAAAAACTTGGGCAGGACTTCCACTAATTCAACAGAAACTCACAAATTTGGAGCCTGCTAAAGGATTCTCCAAGGGTCTGAACTCTAACCAATTAAATTCTGCACATCTCAGCAACTTGTGTGTGTCTAGGATTACAGGCATGAATTGTCACGCCCGGCCTGCAATACCTTGTCTTAAAAAAAAAGAGGAGGAGGAGGAGACAAACAGAAGTTCTAGAATCACAAAAATAAGTTGTACAACTGGTCTTCTAGAAAAGTTTCTAAACATTTTTTCAGGAAATCCTCTAAGTAAAATATCTTTACCTTTTCTAGTAGAGTTATCCTCTTGTGCAAGTTGGGCTTAATTTGTAATAAATAAACATAATTTTACTAAGCATAATATTTTTCAAATAGTCAAAATTACATTATTTATGTGACCTATATATTTTAAATAATTCTCTTATTTTAATATAAATACCTCCCAGCTCTGATTTTAAAAATACTACAAATATTCATCTCTAATCCTAAATTCTGTTATTCATTTATGTTTATCTGTAATAGCACTCAAAGGTTAAAAAATAGGTAGAAAGTTTAGTGAAAGATTTAATACACATTTGCTGCTCTTTTTTTGGTAGAGACAGAGTCTTACTTTATTGCCCTCGGTAGAGTGTCATGGCGTCACAGCTCACAGCAACCTCTAACTCCAGGGCTTAGGCAATTCTCTTGCCTCAGCCTCCTGAGTAGCTGGGACTAGTCACTCACTACAATGCTTGGCTATTTTTGTTGTTGTTGACAGGGGCTGGGTTTGAACCTGCCACCCTTGGTATATGGGGCTGCCCTACCCACTGAGCCAGAGGTACTGCCCACATTTGCTGCTCTTTTTTTTTTTTTTTTTTTGAGATGGAGCCTCAAGCTATCCCCCTTGGTAGAGTGCCATGGCATCACAGCTCACAGCAACCTCCAACTCCTAGGCTCAAGAGAGTCTCCTGCCTCAGCCTCCCA